TGTAACTAGATTAGTGACTCTAGTGCAAGTGGGAGACTGTTGGAAATATGCCCTAGAGGCAATAATAAAAGTATTATTATATTTCATTGTTCATGATAATTGTCTTGTATTCATGCTATAACTGTATTATCCGGAAATCGTAATACACGTGTGAATACTTAGACCACACTATGTCCCTGGTAAGCCTCTAGTTGACCAGCTTGTTGTGATCAACAGATAGTCATGGTTTCCTGACTATGGACATTGGATGTCGTTGATAATGGGATCACATCATTAGGAGAATGATGTGATGGACAAGACCCAATCCTAAGCATAGCATAAAAGATCGTGTAGTTCGTTTTGCTAGAGCTTTGCAAGTGTCAAGTATCTCTTCCTTCGACCATGAGATCGTGTAACTCCCGGATACCGTAAGAATGCCTTGGGTGTATCAAACGTCACAACGTAACTGGGTGACTATAAAGGTGCATTACAGGTATCTCCGAAAGTAGCTGTTGGGTTGACACGGATCGAGACTGGGATTGTCACTCCGTATGACGGAGAGGTATCTCTGGGCCCACTCGGTAATGCATCATCATATTGAGCTCAATGTGACCAAGGTGTTGGACACGGGATCAAGCATTACGGTACGAGTAAAGTGACTTGCCGGTAACGAGACTGAACAAGGTATTGGGATACCGACGATCGAGTCTCGGGCAAGTAACGTACCGATTGACAAAGGGAATTGCATACAGGGTTTGATCGAATCCTCGACATAGTGGTTCATCCGATGACAACATCGAGGAGCATGTGGGAGCCATCATGGGTATCCAGATCCCGCTGATGGTTATTGACTGAGAGAGTCTCGGTCATGTCTGCATGTCTCCCGAACCCGTAGGGTCTACACACTTAAGGTTCAGTTACGCTAGGGTTATAGGGATATGTATATGCAGTAACCCGAATGTTGTTCGGAGTCCCGGATGAGATCCCGGACGTCACGAGGAGTTCCGGAATGGTCCGGAGGTAAAGATTTATATATGGGAAGTCCTGTTTCGGGCATCGGGACAAGTTTCGGGGTTATCGGTATTGTACCGGGACCACCGGAAGGGTCCCGGGGGTCCACCGGGTGGGTCCACCTGTCCCGGGGGGCCACATGGGCTGTGGGGGGTGCGCCTTGGCCTAATGGGCCAAGGGCACCAGCCCCACATAGGCCCATGCGCCTAGGGTTTAAAGGGGGCAAGAGTCCTAGGAGGGTAAGGCACCTCCTAGGTGCCTTGGGGGGAGGGAAAACCCCCCTTGGCCGCCGCACCCCCTAGGAGATTGGATCTCCTAGGGCCGGCCACCCCCCCTTGGCACCCCTATATATAGTGGGGGAGAGGAGGGACTTGATACCTGAACGTCTTGGCCTTTGGTTGCCTCCTTCTCCCTCCCCAACACCTCCTCCACCTCCATAGTGCTTAGCGAAGCTCTGCCGGAGTACTGCAGCTCCATCAACACCACGCCGTCGTGCTGCTGCTGGTGCCATCTCCCTCAACCTCTCCTCCCTTCCTTGCTGGATCAAGAAGGAGGAGACGTGGCTGTTCCGTACGTGTGTTGAACGCGGAGGTGCCGTCCGTTCGGCGCTGGTCATCGGTGATTTGGATCACGTCGAGTACGACTACATCATCACCTTGCAAGCTTCCGCACGCGATCTACAAGTGGTATGTAGATGCAAACTCTCTCCCTAGACTCGTTGTTTAGATGAACTCATAGATGGATCTTGGTGAAACCGTAGGAAAAATTTTAATTTTCTGCAACGTTCCCCAACAAATACACCGGAAAGAAAGCAAACAACATAGTAAACAACCACCACATAAGCATGGCACGATGCGCAAACAAGTATAATGCATGTCCGGTTTAATGAGTCATGGCATGGCAAAGTGCACAAGCAATCCTACAAATTAAGTGGAGCTCAAATGCAATGGAGTTGCATTTTGAAGAAAACACCACATGACTTATTTAGTTCGATCTTGTTTATGTACCCAACAATATTAAATGTTGATTAACATGGCAAGAGGGTGAAGCATAATAAAAGTACCTAACTAGGCAAATTTAAATGAGTCCGGAACAACAAGCAACAAGTCCGGAAAAATCCTCATGTGCATATTTTTGGTTATGGTACTGTTCTGCCCTAAACCATATTTTAAAGTTGTTAAACATGCAAAGTGATGCCACCATGTTAAACTAGGCATTTTTCCACCCCATTTACATATAAAGTTTGTTAAATTTGGAGTTACGGTTATTTAGTTATGCATTAAAGCATTTTAACAAGTTATTTAAGCAAATTTAAACAAACATCATTTTAAACATTTTAGACATGGATGAAAAAGACATATTGTGAAACTACACAAAATTCTAAGCAACTTTCATATAAAGTTTGTTTAATTTGGATGCACGGTTTGTGAGATATGATATGCATGATGTATGAGGGCTTTTCTGTGAATCTGGCAAACTCTAGATAATAGCTAAAATCGCAGCGCAGGGAAAAAAATAACACGGGCCGCATCTGGCTGGGCCAGCAGTGCACAGGAGGGCTGGGGGTTTCGCACCATGGGCCGCGGCCCGATACTGTGGAGAAGGCGGCCTGGCAGGGCACGGGCGACTGGGCCTGATCGAGGCAAGAGGCAGGCCGTACGCAGGCTGGGCCTTGGCGCGGCGCGGAAGGAAGACGCGGCCCAACCGCGGACCTGGGCAGGCGAGGCCGGTTCCTTCGCGTGGGGTCGAGGGGCGAAGTCAACGCAGGTAGGGGATCGGGCGACCTTGCTCTCTCTCTCGATCTGGACAGCGGGGAGGCACTACATCTAGCGCGTCCCTCTGCTCGTCAGAAAACAGAGCAGCGGCGGTGCTTGACAGAAAGGCAGCAGCGGGACTTGGGCGGAGGACGGCCTGAAACGGCAGCGCAGCGACGGGGTCCTGGACTTGGCAGCGGGGAGCTCCATCGTCGAAGGGGAACGGCAGGACGGCGGCGGGTCTCCATGTTCCCGGGCGGCCATGGCGGCACGGGACTTCGCGCGGGCGAGGTGGACTTTGGGCTCCGGCGGGAGGAACTTGAGGCGCAGGGCGAGGTGAACGGCGGCAGGAGGTGGCTCCCATTCATGGCGGCGCCGTCCTGGTGGCTTCCTGCAGAACGGGAGGGAGAGAGAGAGGTGAGCTCGGGAGAGATAGCAGGAAAAGGAGAGGAGGAGGAAGAACGAGGGGAGAAATAGAAGAGGGGCGGCACTCATCTGTTGGTTGTAGCTGCCGGCGACGGCCGGACCTAGAGGCTTCGGTGGTGGTGGTTGAGGTCGCTAGCGGCGGCGTGCGAAGGGCATAGCTGCTCTTGATCCCTCCTGGATCGAGGCACGGGACGAGGCACTCGGGCCTTGCGGGGCTGCGGAGAACCAGGGAGGTGGATCGAGTGAGTGCTGGCTCTGGTTGGTCGGGGATGGATCCCAAGGAAGGGGATTGGGGTGGAGGCGGCGGCGAGGAAAACGAGAGAGACAGGGGAGGTTAGTGGTTGGCTGTGGGTGAGATCCCGATGGGGATTTTGGAGATAAGTGCGGCGGCGGCCGTAGGGCAAGTGACTAGAAGTTAGGGTTTGGTCTAGATTTAGACTAGAGAGTATATATATAAAGAAAGAGGGAGACATATAGGGGCTAATCCGTTCCTCCAAATAAATCGAGCGGTCGAGAAAAATAGACTAGGAAGTCCAATTAACAAAACGGAGACGTTTTGTAGATGTTTGGGGATGATCTGGATCCAACGGTAACGACTGTCCGGGTCGGGTTCGGGACAACTTTTCAGACGCGCGCGCGAGGAGGGCCGCGGGCTGACGAGAGAGGTTAGGTAAGGCCTGACGGAGAGTGGTGGTGGGCTGAGAAGAGAGAAGGGGAAAGCAACCCGGCAACTGTTTCCGGAGACCGAAAACGTCTGACGTTAGACCGGCTATACTGCCGTTATAGTTAAAGGTTGGGCTATCAAACAGACTCCGAACGCGATGAAATTTGACAGGCGGTCTTCCTACACTAAAGTAAGACCGCACGCCAACTTTCAACCCATTCCGAGAACATTTTCGGGCCACTTATAAAAAAATATTTCGGACATGCCACGGACGCGTGCAAGTGTGTCTGGGCTCAGAACGGACAACGGAAAGAACGAGGAGACCCGAACGGATGCAAGTTTTGGAAACATGATGATGCAATGCACATGATGACATGATGAAAAACAACACGCAAGCAAAAGACAAGGCAACAACAACGAATAACTGGAAGACACCTGGCGCAACGGTCTCGGGGCATCACAAACACGGCGTTCGCCTGGGCCGGGCCGGCGCCGACGCTCATCGACCTCACGGACCCCAAGGACGACGACGCCGCCGCCTAGGGCAGTGCGCCTCCTCATAGTTTAGGCTTTTTTTTATGCAAATGTGGACGCGTGGACTCTCGCCGGCCTTCGTGGCCGGCTTTAATGTTTAATTAATGCAGTTTTTCTTTTTTTAAATATGCATGCGTTCATTTTTTTGGCGCCGTCTAAATGGGTCGCAGGCCAGCGTTAGGCGCAGGTGTCGACCCAAATGCGGAAGCGGGCATCCGTGTCCGTCTGGCCGAGCCAAACGGACAAAAAGCGGATGAAATCGCCATCCGTTTGGGTCGGCCCGTTGGAGTTGCTCTAAGAAAGCACCGTGCAGTTGTACACATCTTATAAATTTTTTGTTCTAGGTACACACCTTATAAATTGATTTCACAGCCGCTTAGTACAACAGTTAAGCTTGCAAACGGACATCTCACCTCAGGACACTGACGCGCAGTGAAAACTTCCGGATTCAACAATCAGACTGTGATGCCTCAAAAAAAAAACAATCACACTGAGAAATCGCCACAAGCTTACAGTGGTGACGTCACCTATTTACGAAGTACAGCAGCCTAGAGAAAGCTTCGCATACCAGTTGGCAGTCATGGATTCATGGATTTCAGGCATCTCAGTCGACAGTCACTTGGCGCATACCATCATTCTGCTGAAATGCCCTTTTTCTTGGAGACATACACTTGTGAAAAGTGGAGGTAAGCAGCCAGCCCGACAACGCTGAGCGCGGCCAGAAGCCAGTAAAAGTAATCAAGATGGCCTCGGTTCAGATTGTTTGAGAACCAACTATCTCCACCGTCACTGGTTACCCGGTCGATTGCATACACCAGAAAGCCACTGATGAAGCTCCCAATTCCGAATATGCTCAAGTATAAGGCAAGGCCCAAACTGCGCAGACTGTCTGGCACTTGGTCGTAGAAGAACTCTTGCAAGCCGACCATCGTGAACATGTCCGCCACGCCAGTCAGGATGAACTGAGGTACCACCCACCAAAAGCTCATTGGAATTGTTGCTTCGGGTTTGTCCACTAGGCCATGCTCTCTTGCTATTTTGAGCCTTCTCATCTCCACGAGGGCTGCAACAACAATCAAGATCACGGAGATGACTAGTCCAGTTCCTATCCTTTGCAAGGCTGTGATGCCACAAGGCTTCTGTGAGTACTTTCTGGCTAGTGGAACAAGTATCCGGTCATATATAGGAATCGAGATGACGATTGACACGCTGATAAGGCTTTGTAGGGCAGCAGCTGGTACCTGTAAGCTACCTATCCACCTATCTAGTGTACTTGCTTGTTTAGTGAACAGCGTCATCCACTGGGCAAAAACAACTGCATAGATCAGGCAGGTTGCCCCTATTGGAAACAATTTAAGCAGAGACTTGGCTTCATCAGGGAAACATGTCATTTCTGCTTTATCCTTGAGTCTGCTGGATGACGATGTTGGCATGCAGTGGGAATCATCAGATGACCTGCCAAACAGACACACAGTGCGCACGCACACACACACAAAACAGAGAACATATAGAGTTAGTGTTTCTGAAGAATGAACTCCATGCAGTGATACAAACTTCCAGAATTTAGAATAAGCTTACCTCAAACTCCATGATGCATGCCAGGTTCTAACCAATGATAAAATGTGTTTGACAACCTGTCCAATTAAGCTTCCATCACTTCTTACAGGATAAAAGCGATAAGTCCTGGTCCCAAGCCACAAAACTGCAAGAGAAAGAGACATAACCATGCAAGGGATTCCGAACCCAAACTGCCAGCTTATGTTATCTTGAATGTAATTCAAGATTGAAACTGTAACAACGCTGCCTGCATACGTCCCAAAATACCACCAATTGAAGAAGGAACTTCTCAAGGCAAATTCTTCAGGATCGTTCTCATCAAATTGGTCTGCCCCAAATGCTTGCACACAAGGTTTGTGGCCACCTTGCGCAAAGGCCACAATATACAGGGACACGTAGAAGAAAGCTAAATGAATTGTTGAAGTCGAGGATAAAGCGGAATCCATGTGGTCTCCAAATTGTGCTGGTTGTTGTGGTGCAAGAATTGATGATAGTGTGAGCATGCCCAGGCCCTGCGATGGTGGATGTAATTCAGTGAAAGAAGTACTTTATCGTGTCAATTAAATTATTTTCCAAGTGGATTTAAAAGAAAAAAAGATTTCCAGATTATTTACATGCAGGATAAAAGTTGTCCAGTTGCTAGGACAATGCCTAAGTATTGCACACACAAAAAATATTTAGCTGAATTAATCGCGGAAATCCTTTTGCTTCAGACCTCAACATGTCAAACATGCATTTTGGATGTATCTTGCATAATTTGGTCATTACCAAAACAGAAACTTTAGTACTCGTATCAAGATTCATTGAAGCCAGGACCAAGTTTTTTATAATGTAGTTGGGTAATCAAAATCCAATCCAGAATCTAGCAGTTGGTTGGAGTTCAGGAACTAGTAGTAAGCAAAATATATATTATATATTGTACAGTATATCACAGCAGCGCAACAGTCCTGCCTGAACTTGCAATCAACGGATAAAAATGCTATGCCTGAACTTGCAATCAACGGATAAAAATGCTATGCCTGAACTTGCAATCAACGGATAAAAATGCTATGTCACGGTTAACACAAGGGGTTAGTGCAGTCGGATCCTCAAAGTTGAACCCAGAACACTAACACTGACAAGGCTAAATGAACTGCAGTACTCCATCACGGGCTCGCTAAATGAACTGCAGTACACCATCAAAGGCTAAGTCGGGAGCTACTCCCTTTTGTAAAAATATACATACCACTAACTTCATAGAAAACAAAAACGTATCGTTAACTAAAGCCTAGGAGGGTAGGAACTCAAAATTCACAGAAATTACAAGGCCAAAAGCACAGATAAAAGGTCCGACTTCCAATTGCTAAAGTCAGTGTAGAGTATAGTTTTAACTTTGCAGATTTGAACCAATCCAAAAATACAAGTAACTGTCAGATGTTCAGCACCAATGTAAGATCAGAACACGGGCACAATATACTGTCAGATGTTCAGTATACGTTGAGTGGTCTAGATTCAGACTAGATGCTACTACTCGCTACGAGCAAGCAAGACCAGAACAGTATGGCGTACATACCAGGATATAGAGTAGGGAGGCGCAGACTACAGTGCGGTAACGGCCGAGCCAGGAATCGGCGACGGCGGCTCCGAGCAGCGGCAGCAGAAGCGCGACGCCGCTCCAGGCGTTGATGGCCGCGGCGGCCGACGCCGTGGACTGCCCTAGCGGGCCGGTCAGGTAGGTGATGAGGTTCCCTGAGATGCCGCCATAGGCGAACCGCTCGGAGATCTCCACGCCTGCGGAAGCGACGACACCCGGGTCAAAGAGGATCGAGACGAGAGTGCGGGCGAGTGCCTTGCTGTTGCCTTGCTGTACCGATGATGAAGAGCGCGGCGGGCCACCGGCCGGAGGTTTGGCGGGAGACCGGACGGCCGAGGTGGTCCACGGCGGTTGCCGGTTGCGGCAGCAGGGGCTCCGCCGCGGCGTCCATGGGCGCCCACTTGTTCCCCTCCTCTCCAGTAGTCCCGCTCGAGTCTCTTCCCCTCGAAAAAGGGTGGTAAAAAAGTCTCGCTCAAGTCTCCACGACGCTTTGACGTCATTTTAATACTCCTCCGTTTTTATTTACTCTGTTTTTATTCACTTTGCATATTATATTTAACTAAGGTCAATAAAATTTAATCAAGTTTATACAAAACGAACGGCTGAGGTAATCATCTTTCCCATGATCCCATCCCCACGTGGGCCTGTTTCGCACCGCTCACTCCCCCTCTTTCACGTACGGCGGCGAGAATCATAGAAGGCAATCTCTGGAAAACGAACACCAGCGACAACCAACGGCTTCATCACCGCTTCATCTCCCCTTTGTCGCCGCTTCATCAGTGGCGGTAAGCCCTGTCTCCCCGATTAGGGATCGATATAGGCATCGATTTAGCCCTGGATTTAAACTTCACGCATTTGATTTAGGCTTCGATTTGAGGTGTCGACTAATAGCATGATTTGGTCATCCATATTGGTGTCCATTTAGCGTGTCAGGTAAGGATATTATTTGGGGGGTTCATATAGATCGATTTCAGTGTTGAAGTCCGGTCAGATTTGAGGTGTCGAATAAAAGCACGATTTGGTCATCCATATTGGTGTCCATTTAGCATGTCATGTAAGGATATTATTTGGGGGTTCATACAGATCGATTTCAGTGTTGAAGTCCGGTCAGATTTGGGTGTCGACATAGGGCTATATTTTGGTCAGATGCCATGTTGATGTAGGGTCCGATTTGGGCCAGTTGCCATGTCGGTATAGGGTCAGATTTTGGTCAATTACCGTGTCGATATAGGGTTAGATGAAGCTCCATTGATCTTGTTCGGTTTTTCAATGCAGTGCTTTGCGAAGAAGCTCATCCTCGGCAATGCTGTTGAGGGCAACTGCCCGAAGGGCAAGGAGTTGGCAGAGGGCTGCTCGAAGGGCAAGGAGGTGAATGAGGGCAATGCCGCCAACAGGCCTCGGGTGAGGCCGAGGAATTACAACCATTTTCATGAGGAAGCAAGCCCATTGTACTTTTGCAGGGTCATTCTGGCGTTTTTGTAACCGAAGGATACCTTAGGGGAGAATCGGATGGTGATCGTTCGGTGGCTAGAAACACCCTGTATTTGCAATCCCCTCACGTAGGCGTTTTTCCACCATCAATAATCGAAGCAGGAGTAGTGTATTACCTCAATCATGACGGTCCGAACATGGGTAAAAAATGTGTGTGATCCCCTTGTTGGGAAACGCAGTAATTTCAAAAAAAATCCTACGATCACGCAAGATCTATCTAGGAGATACATAGTAACGAGAGGGGAGAGTGTGTCTATGTATCCTTGTAGACTGAAAGCGGCAGCGTTATATCAACGCGGTTGATATAGTCGTACGTCTTCACGATCCGACCGATCCTAGCACCGAACGTACGGCACCTCCGTGTTCAGCACACGTTCAGCACGATGACGTCCCTCGTACTTTTGATCTAGTTAAGGCCGAGGGAGAGTTCCGTAAGCACGACGGCGTGGCGACCGTGATGATGAAGTTACCGGCACAGGGCTTCACCTAAGCACTACGACGATATGATCGAGGTGTAAAACTGTGGAAGGGAGCACCGCACACGGCTAAGAGATTGTCTGTTGTGCCTTTGGGTGCCCCCTCCCCACGTATATAAAGGAGGGAGGGAGGAGGAGGCGCGCCCAAGGGGGGGGGAGTC